ACTGTATCAGTTTTCACTCCTGTCTCCTAAGAAATTGAGGGTACATTTTACTCTTGATCACTAAAAGAGTAATTCAATAGTAAATCAATATTTGTACACATATACACATATATATATATATATATATACACATATACATATCCTGTTTCTATTTAATTTTTTTGCTTTGTTTCATTTGGAAGATGTGATTGCTCAACACGCCTCACACTTCTATGATGGACCTCAGTCAAACCGCCCCCAGCTTCGGCAGGCTCTGCCATCCCCATGGCAATTATTACCAAGAGACATTTTTCTAGGCTGTAGTGGGTGGTGGGAGGAGCTTATTCGATTGGGAATCCAACATGACGCCCCTATCTGTGACTTCTTAAAATATATTCTCTACACTAAACCAGATCTGACATTTGGTTTTGTTATGTTATCACAAACCATAGCACTCCTAGTGTGAATATGTCCTGTTGTAAACTGGAATGACCCTCTTAGACTTTATTTGTTATTTATGTGAAATCTTGGGTTACTTTGCCTTGTAATATATCTAGTTGTACCATAACAACAATGTTATATTCTGTTAAAGATTCACATTATATTTGTCAACATTAGTTATAATCATACACATTATGCCCTTGCTTTTGCATTAACAGAAAGATCTGGCGTGTTGTGGTCCAGGACAGACACTAAAGCAGCACAGTAAAGGGAATTAATCGTCATCCTAGGTAATCGTCTGCGAGTCATTTGATCAACCCACTCAAAACGGAATCTTGCACATGTTTTAACATGATCTACTAAATTATTATAAATCTTATCTGGTGGGTAATAAAGGTCAAAGGTTTGAGACACTGAAACATTGGACTTCAGTTTTAAATGCCTTGAGTCAGCCAGTTCAGTACGTGTTCCTATTTTAAGGCTATTTGAGGTGTCAGAGAGTCTTTTTCTTTGCTTTTGCAAACAGCCTTGCTTTCTAAGCTAACATATAAGCTTAAGCAAACTTTCAGTAAAAGTTTAGGAAACTATATTTTACATTTTCACCACTGCTTTACTTTTTAAACACCGGTATTCACTGTGGTAAATAACAGTAAGCAGAATCAGTTATATTTTGCTATAAGTAGATACAAATCTGCTTTTATGTCATTTTAGAAGTATTTTACTTCTACTCAACAGCATTTCAGAGAAAAATGCTGTACTTTTTACTCCACTACATTTACTTGACTTTAGTATTTGACCTCTGTAACAGGTATGACAAATATGATCTACACATAGAAAATTATTTGCAACACACACTCACCATGTGTTTTGTTAAGTATACCTGTTCAGCTGCATATTCATGCAAATATCCCAGCCAGTCACATGGCAGCCACTCAGTGCTCTGTGGACATAGCCAAGATGACCTGCTGAAATTCAAACTGAGCATCAGAAAGGAGAAGAAAGGTGATTTAACTGACTTGGCATGGTTGCTGGTATCAGATGCGCTGATCTGAGTATTTCAAAAACTGTTGATCTACTGGAATTTTCAAAAACACAGCCATGTGTAAGGGTTATAGAGAATGCGCCGGATAAAAAGGAAAATATCCAGTGAGTTTCGAGTTCTCTGGCTAAAAGTACTTTGTTGATATCACAGGTCAAAGAATGATGAGACTGCTTTGAGCTGATAGGACAGCAAAATTAAATCAAATAGCCACTTGTTAAAACAAAGGTATGCAGATGAGCACCTCTGAATGCACAGCATGCTGAAGCTTGAATCAGATGTGCTATAGCAGCAGAAGACCTCACTGGGTGCCATTCCTTTTAGATAAGAACAGGACAATTAGGGTAAAATTCACATAGGCTCACAAAAACTGGACAGCAGAAATGCTGTCTGGTCTGATGGGTCTTGATTTCTGCTGCCATTTTCAGATGTTAGGATCAGCATTTGGCATAAAGAACACGAAAAGCATGGATTCGTCTCCAGACGGCTACTTCCAGTACAATGCACCGTGTCGCAAAGTTCAATTCAACTTTGGGATGTGGTGGACTGGGAGACTTACTAGCAAGGTGTACCTAATAAAATGGCCAGCGAGTGCAGGCCAGGAGCTAAAAAATGTGCTCCATCTAAATAATAAGAGGAAAATAACACATAAAACTAACACCGATAGCGTTTAATATATGGTGACCTTTGAGATATTACCAGTAAGAAAGTCATTCTAGGATTTAATTGCTAAATATTTTAGAACTTGTTTTAAATACAGCTGCTGAAGATAAGCTACTATCAAACGTTATCTAACCAGTGTGGAAACACATTTGTTCTTCTTTCACCGGGACCTTTGAACCCTCTCCCAGCGCCTCCTTTGAACACAACACTTCATCCTACTGTGGAGGAAACTGAAGTAACAGAATAACAAAGCCACCCAAACCGAATATCACCACTGGTAAGTATTTCCTAGCTAGAATTATTTAACTAATACTTATTTCTCTCATGGGTTTGCCATTTTTTGTCGTTTTTAAGCTAAAACGTAGGCTATTGACACTGCAGTTATCGTGCTTGAACTAACTTTGTACATTTGATAGTGGACAGTTAAGCTAGTACGAAGCAGTCGCGTTGTTAGCTATGTGAAACGTGTTTACAGTCGGCGCTCTTGTTAGCTACTCTGCGGATGTATACGCACACATATTTAGAGCCCGTATATACTGTAACGAGCCGTCGTTGTTGCTTTATCTTTGTGTCAAGGT